GTTCCTATTTAACGCAATATAGTCTAAATATGTCTGTTAGATGTGGATTTATCCTGTGTTTTCTTTTGAAGATATAGAATTGTGCAGAGGTAAACAGAAGTAAACCCACTCTTATTTTTTTATCTACAGTAATCTGCTCTCTCTGTATCAAGCAAAATAATACATTAAAGGGACGGTAAATAAATGTATTTAAATGAGCACTGGTACTATAAAAGAAACTGACACTGAGCATTTAAAATATTAACTTCACTCTACAAGTTGTACATATAGGCTGTAGTTACTCTGTGTTGCCCATTTCATGTATTTTATTTATGGATGAAACAATTAAGCATATTAATCGATTATTTAAATAATCGTGAACTATGTAATTGATGTAATATGATCTGGTTGAACTGTAAAGTGCCTTGAGATGACATGTGTTGTGAATTTGGCGCTATATAAATAAACTGAATTGAATTGAATTAATCGTTAAATGGAGTATAGGGCCACTAAAATGTGCCTTTAGCCGACAGAGCGACCCACTTAGAGCAGGAATTATACGAAGATGGTAAAAAATATGTAAAGAATTTGCATTTAAGATTAAAAAAAAAGTTTTTGTCTGTCAATAATCTCCATCCAGAACTCCTCAAGAGGAAAGGTTTCTGTTTCACCTGGTTTCATTTCGTAAAAACATCTTCTTTAAGAAACCTTTGTCTATCTGATTATTGATCGATTCAACAAAAAAAAAAAAAACTAAAAAATCGACAGATTAATCAATTTGCAGAATAATTTGCAGCCCTAATTTTATGGTAACTTTCCAAACATAATGCAGCAGTGAAGGGCAGCTGCTTCACCCTCAGGCTGCCCTGCTGCATTATATCTGTTTCCTACAATCATATAATGTTTCTATTATAAAAGTGTGTTTTTAATAGTAAAGGATTAAATATAACACAACCTTTTATCATCTTCCTATATTGCTTACTGTCGGACTGTTTAAGTAGCTCCTCATGCAATAACTACTGCTGTATAGTAAATTATAAACATGTTGTTCATGTCCAATTATAGGTAGGAACGTGTCTCTATGGTCTCTATGCAAACCTGCGACCATGACTTGTTCCTTTTAACATGTCAGTCTGCTCCGCCTCACGCTGACACCTGAAGGACCTTTTAGTTCTAGTTGAGCATTTCGTTTAGTTTGCTAAAATCCTTCTTAGGATGAGCTCACAGGTTTTACTCTCAGATTATTTCCCTGCGCCGTTCATTTCTAATACTTAAAATAAACCAAAAAGCTTCTGTCAGACGGTGAAAACATCAAAGTTAGTTGAGTTAAATATGTTTATGAAAGAGGACAGAATCCGGATCCATTACAAGAGAAAACACCTTTAATAAATGGTTTAGTTATTTCATCTGCACTGATAATTTTTCTGCAGACACATCAGGATTTATTGCAGCTCCGCTTCTGCAGGAAGAGCTGCAAACAGATCAGGAAGCAGGTTGTTAGGAGGTTTGTTTAGGTTCAAATTATAAGGAAAAGAAAAACCAGAGAGATTTAAAAACTTTGATTATCTCTCTCTGTTTGGGGTAAACTTATTTTTATTTTTTAAATTATGTGATTTTAAATAAACATTTAAGACTACAATAATTATCTTCTTACTTTAAGCTTATTAAAACTGGAATAGTTTGTAGTTAACATTATAAAAAATAAAACAAAAAAAATCTCCATGTGACATTTGTTATTCAGAACAAGTTTAGCTCCATGTTTTACATAAAGACATTTTAAATTAGAAGTCAAGAAAAATCAAATTCTAATTTAATTCTAGCTAAAGTATAATTTCTAGGACTGAGTAACCAAGGCCTAAAATTATTTAATAAAAGGAAAATTAGCTTTGGTTTGAAATAGAGGACGATAAAATGGAAACATGGAGTCTTTAAAGTTTACGTCAGAGTTAAAATAAAAGCTAAAAAAATAGAGACAGAAATTTTTTATTTGAAGTAAAAAAATGACGCGCCATGAAGTGGAATCAGAATCACTTCATTAATCCTTTCTTTAGAGTCCATGATTATTTTTCTCTCATATTTTGATCGAATTAACAAGAATGAAACTGAGAGCCTTTTTTTCTAACCTGTTTATGATTCATCTTTTTATTTTTTACATATAAAGAATAACTGAGAAAAAGTTGATGAATTTCCTAAAGGCTGAGGTCCAGCTTCTAGTTTTGTTGTTGTTTAGATTTTTTTTTGTGATATTTAAGTTAAAATAAACCCTGAGGAGCCAATAAGGACTGAACTGTTCATGCATATCGACTCTGTTGTTGATTTTTCTCTCTTATTTTAGCAAATCACTAAAACAAGATAGAAAAATGAAAATGAAATAAAGAAAAAAATGTCAGCTTTTCTTTTTAAACTAACAATTATAATAAAATATTCTTTTTCTTTTTTATAGGAATAAAAGTTCAGAAATCTGTGAAAAAAAATCAAGTTTTTAAAATCAAATTAAATTCAGCTGCTTCTAAAGAAGCATGAAGGAGGAAATATAGTTATTTAAAAAAATATATTTAAAAACATTTATGCAAATATCCACATTTATTTTTTACATTTATTTGTTATTATTAGATCATTTAAGTTTTTTCATCAATGGTTTCTTTTCATGAAATTACTGACATGTTTACAGAAATGTTTGTTGTCTTAAGGCCGGTTTTAAAGGGGAGATAAACTCTCCAATCTGTAGTTTTTCTCCTTTACTTTTAATTCTTCATCCTACATTTCTTGGCCTTCTATTAAAAAGAAACGTTCCCGAATTTTGTTGAATTAATTCCGCAGCGAATTGATCTTTAAAACATTTTTTCTGGTTGTTTTTCAGCATATTTAGGAGCAGATTAGATTATCCTAAAACAAAAACATCCTGAAAGTGACGCGAAGATGAAAATAATCTGGAAGCTTTTGGTCTAAAAATCTGTTTCTCTCTAGTTTTGAAGTTAGAAGAACAAGCAGCGCGTGGCTCCAAGTGGCCCCTCCACGCGTGGAACCCCGCTCCTCTACAACACGCAGAAAATGGCTTTTGTTGCATTCGAGTACCGTCGGAAATCTGGCTGTTAAATTGGAAAGCTCCATAGAAAAGTTTCGCACGGAAATGAATCTGTAAATAAATGCCTGTGATTTGTTATTTTAATCTAAGGAAATAAATAGTTAGTCGGCCCTAAAGCAACACAACCACATAGAACTGACAACTTTTATAGATTTAAACAATGCAAAAAAAAAAAAAGTAAATACTACTTTTTTAAAAAAAAATTATTTAAAAACAATCAATAAATTAGATGGGCTTATTCTATACATATATAAATGTGTTAGGTTAAACATATATAAATTCGTTTCTGTAATGAGAGAAATGTTATTTTATTTTTTTTCATTCATTTATATTTTAAATGTGAACATGTCTGTAGAGGATCTCTCACAAAACTACAAACGGCCTCAAATCGGAAACAAGTTAAAGAAGCAGCACTTGAACGCATCATCGCCCCCCCACTCCATGCACATTGACACTGCGGGCTCAGGGGGTTGATATTGGGCCTGAGGGGGGGTGCAGGGGTCGCAGGCAGGGCGGTGAGGAAACGAGCTGATGTGCCCTGGAAGTAATCCCCCCCCCCAAACAGCAGATATGTTACAAAAACAAGGTGGGAGAAACCACTTCAGCTGGAGCATGGGGGGCAGAAATATTGCTCTTCCTCCATGTTGTTTTTAGTTTCACTTTATTATTATTATTATTATTAAATAAACAACATAAAATATAAAGTGATAACTGGTTCAGTTTGCTCTTAAAAACATCCTTAAAATGCAGGAGATATAAAATAATTAAATTAAAATAAAGAACACAGCATCTCTTTTTGAAATTAATTCATAAAAGATTCGGTGTAAAACTCTTTATGCCAAAATGAAATACATATTAGAAAAAAACGATGTAATTTATTGGTATTTATTTAAGTCTAACTGAGGCCTTTTTGAGCGACAAAAAAGAAGTTATTTTAATAGTTTGTTATATTAGCTTTCAAAAAAAAATTCAAATAAGAAATAAATGAAATATTTGATTATAATTTAAAATAATGACTGACAAAGAAATATAAATGCTAAGGCCAGAAAAAACAAATTGCCTCGTTCATTGTTTTAGGAACATGTTTTATTAATGTGTCTTTTTTCATTAGAAACATGTCATAAAAATATATATATATATATTTGTTTTATTATTGATTTTTTCCCCAAAATTTCTGTCCCATAATTTTCCATATCAGAAAAAAAATGGTAATAAAACAAAATCTATATATCTATATTAGAGTAGACTTTATCCTTTGAAAATAATTCCCTTTTTTTTTTTTTTGACTTAGCGTATACAGAAGCGTTGGCGTCATGTTTGTCAGAATCTGACTCAGTTTCTTGTTTCTTTTTGCTCCCGATTTTTGTTTTTATTTTGTTTAAGCATTAAATGAGAATCAAATGTACAATAACTTATTTAAATCTATCATTTTGTGCAGGAAGCTGCAGGAATCCAGTTAAAGCTGCTGTGACCGGGATAACTAGTTGGCAACCAAAGCTAATCACTTCCTCTGTTTTGGATAAATTCAAAGCTGATATTTACTAACAGATATATTTCTAAGTTTTTAGTTGGTTAAACAGGATTTAATCAGATAATCAGTGGAAATGAGGCGTTTATTGGCAGCTCATTTTCAGGCGCCATATTGAATTTTCAGGTTGAGGTTGGTGACTTTCCTGCTTCAGATTCCTTTCATGTTTGATTTAATATCTTGGAAGAAAAAATCCAGAATTGAGAGAAAAGTTGAAACTAGGAAGCAGTTTTAAAGGAAAAACAAATAAAATCTGTGGAATAAGAAAAAAAGAAGCTTTGTTGTTGTTGTTGTGAAGCAGGTGTTTAATGTGGCTCCCAGTTTGGAGCTGAAGCACCAGTAAGCATTCGCTGCTGGGACTGGTTCCAAAAAAAAAAGTTTGTGAAAGTGGTGTGACGTCACGCTCCCACAATGCTCACCGCCCCATAACTCCGCTGCAGCCTAGGCAGAGCAGCAGAGAGTCGGGCCTCGAATACAGAGAAAAACCCGCAGCGGACACTTTAGAAAAGTCTCCAAAGTGGATCAAACGGACGCGGCGGCAGCGGGACGCAGGAGGAGCCGCGGCGGCAGAGAGCGAGCAGGACGGCGGGCAGCGGAGGCTGGAACTCACCGGGACTTCCAGGCCAACTGACTAATGCGCTGCTGGAAACTTTTCGGTGGGTAAACTGCTCTTTTCTCTCTCTTCTCTAACGCAGCCGCGCGTCCCCCCCACGCGCGCGCGTGTGGGGCTTTGGGGTGAAGTGACGCACGGGAGGCTGTGGACACCGTGTTACGGAGCCACGGCCGCGCAGTTTGGGCAGACTACTGGGAGCCACGGCGGCCCAACGCCGCGTGGTTCTGGGCGGTTTGCTGGGTCGGAACCAGCCGGGGAATATTTGGGAGGTATGCGCTGCAGAGGCGCTGCAGAGGACTGGAGCGGCGCGGCGCACGTCCTGTTGTTTGTGTTGCTTTAGTCCAGAGGAGAAAAGTTTGTCTCTGACTGAAGCTCAGTCTTTATGCCATCAGGTCACATTCAGGCTTTAATCCCAAACTTTCAGGCGATCATTCTCTGGGTTTCATGCTTCTGATCAGAGGTTCTGAAAAGCTTTTCGCTCTGCAGGAGAGTAAACAACAAGCAGGAGCCTTCCAAAAAAAAAAAAAAGAAAGAAAATGGGGGAAGGGGTTGTTGGGTTCATGATGTGTGGGCTCAGTTTGTGCACTTGTTGCTGTTTTTGCTGCAGGGTTTGTTTCTACTTGAGTGTGAAAAAGAAGTTGCGCTGATCTGTGCGGGTTTTTGCTGCTGCCGCACATGAGTTTGGCTGCTGGGCTTCATTAGCACATTTCCTCTGCCGCAAACAGCCTGAACTCGATCTGAACTTTGCCTCATTTCAGGTGTTTTCATGGCATCAGCTCCAATCACACATCCTGGGATAGGGAAGGAAAGCCAATCTATGCCACACACATCTATGCCTTCACTGTCTGTCGATAACAAACTGCTGCCTTCTGCTAAACTCATTTAAGGTTCTAATTAGGGCTGAAAATAACCAATAATTTACAAATTATTAATCTGTCGATTATTCATTTGATTAATTATCAAATAACCAAAGGTTCCTTAAAGAAGAATGTTTAGGAAATCAAAGTAAAACTTTTCCAATTAAGGAATTCTGGATGGAGCAGATTGACAGAAGAAAAAGTTTTTTTTTATCTTAAATGTAAAATGTTAATATATTATTTTCCAATCTTGGTATAATTGCTGCTCTAAGTGAGTCGCTCTGTCAGCTAAAGGCAGGTTTTACAGTCTCCAGTTAATGATTAATTGATTACTACTTTATTTTATAATTATTTCAATAATCAATCACAATTAATAGTTTCCACCCTGGTTTTAATAAAAAAGAAAATCAAATTCTAATTTCAGAATCTACTTGGTAAAGAGCTGGGATTTTATTTAAATATAATTAAGTAGATTTTCAAATTTTTTATATCTTTCCTCATTTTGGGTTGTTTTTCTTTTTGTTTAATTATTTTAGGGTTTTTTTTTTTTTAGAAATGTTAAATTTAATTAATAATAAAAAAAGCAATTAAAAGTTGTTTTATTTTAGCAAATGAAAGTAAAATATTTAAATCCTTAACATTTATGTATCCGAATTGGAAAAATTTTCTTCATGTAATCAGATTAATTTTTCCGTGTTGATGAATTATTTCAAATTAAAAACTCACCATCTTTGTTTTTAGTTGAATAAAATAAGACGAATATAAGAATAAATGCATAATCCCTTCATTCGTTGCTGGATTTAAAACAATCTGCTGCAGGTTTTGTTGTTTTTTACCTGATAGAAAAGAAGCTGCAGGTGAAGATCAGCTGAACGGAACCAAAAGGCCTAAATGCATCGCAGATATTTATTAAATAGATTGGCTCAAAACAGTTCTCTGGATTTGTCCCTGGTGTTTCTGAAAGGCCCCACATCTAAAACCAACAGATCTAAGCTGCAGCTTCTCCTATTTAAACCAAGAAGGAAACATTTGGATTTTCACTTTTCATCTTTCAGTTCATCTTTAATATTCAGAGAAAGTTTTATTTTCAGGGCCTTTTCCTGGAATTAAAACTGCAGCAAAGTTTGAAAAAGTTCCACCTTTTAAAGGCTGTTAAAAAGCTTCATATTTTCATCTGCGGGGTGGATAAAATGTCACAGCTTCACCCGCCCCCCACTAGTGGCTGCACACTGCCTGTCTGCTGGCTGAAAAAAATGTTCTGCACCGTTAAAAAAAAGAAAAAGCAATATTTTTAGATTTGGGAGAGTTCTGTTCATGAAACAGTCAGTAAATGGATGGTTTAAAAGTCCAGCCTGTCAGCCTGCGTCTCCACTCCACATGTTTCACAACATTCAGGAACAATTTATAGTAAATGTTCTAGATGATGATTTTATGTTACATTTTTTTATTTAAAGCATTTGGATTTTTTTTTATGTGATTTAACCCTTTATAGGGCAAGTTAGTTGCATACCCCCGGTCTAGAAGCACTAGATCTATATCCATCTATTCAGCAAAGATCCTGCTACATGGCTGTACAGCTTATTTTGGCGTTTGACCAATTAGACGATCCCTAAATGATAGATTATCTACTGGAAATTAAGTTGAAAAAACAAAGTTAACATGTCAAGAAAAAAGGTAAAAAGCTAATTGAAAAGTTAAAAAGTTTAAAGTTAATAAGCCTAGTTAACAATTATATTTAGGTTGAAAAACCGAAAAATGAAAGTGCCAATGCATTAAAGCCTGTAAGTAGGGATGCACGATATAATGGGCCCCCTATCGGTATCGGCCTTAAAACTTAATATCGGACATCGGCCCCCCCACCGATATTTAACCCGATATTTGATCAGCTTCTGAGTTTCTAAAGTCTAAAAAAAAATACTTCTTCTTCCTCAAAAACTTCTTTTTTACAGACTTAAAAACCTCTAAAGACGAGGGAAAAAATATTGATGCATTAAAATATCCCAATATCTTCATATGCTGATATATTGCCATTTAAAAACACCATATCAATCTCTTTTACTAATGAAATATTGCTATATGTCGTCGTTATGCTACGAAATCCCCCGAAAATTCCCGAAATGTTGCCATATTTTTATATGTTGATATATTGACGCGGTATCGATCTATTTTACTAACAAAATCTCACAAAAATTAGCAAAATATCACGAGAGTTTGTAACAGAACGATGAAATTTCACCAGATTTTGAAAGTAAAATAGATCGATACCGCGTTTTTAAAAATCTATTTGATATCAGAGTATGAAAATATATTTGAGTTTATTATTTTTCAAAGTGTCAGAAATGGATAACAAAACTGCTATTTTCAATGACTACTTATTTTTGTCCAGCTTTAACATCGGTATCGATATCGGTTATCGGCTACATGAGTTTTAAAAATATCGGCATATCGGATATCGGCCAAAATCCCAATATCGTGCATCCCTACCTGTAAGGTTATGTTGGACTAAAAACTTTTATTTTTCCAAATATATTCGGGCAAGTTGGTGTTCCTTGTTATTACATTGACATTAATCCATATTGTTTTAAAGTTACAAAGGTAATAAAGTCTTATTCTTGATTAAAAATAACACTATTAGCTGGAAACTTTGATTTTCAAAGTATTTTTACTGAGGCCCTATAAAGGGTTAAAATGTAACTATCAGGATATGGGAAAATCCACAGTGTTTGTATTAAAGGAAAAGTCCGGTCAGCAAGAAATAATCAATGGATCATTATTTATACCTAAAACTAACATGTTTGCAGTGATTTAATGAATTTTGCTTTAATTGGTAAAAAACTAAAAATAATTTTCGTCACGATCGCTGAGTCTGGACCGGTTATCAAGATGACTTGGATAATAGCGCGTTGTGACAAACACCAGATACAGCACTGGGACTTGATCAACAGCTGATACCGCACCGTGACGTCACTAACCAGTAGGTGGCAGTAGTGTTCTTTGACAAACATGGATGCCTCCAGTAAAGCACATTAAAATAATTGAAAACACTGATCATTTATTGAACAGGATGGAATCATTTCAGATTTAAAGAACTTTCAGAAGTTTATATTCTGACTATGAGCGACTTTTCCTTTTAAGAACTTAATTATTTGATTAAAGTATTTGGGAAAAGTTTAAACTATCAGAGATGCATTGACTCGGTGCTCCAATGGTCCAGATTATCTCTGAATGTTGGTAGATTGGGATTAAAATCTGCAGGTTTTCTTATTCACCAAAAAGCTTCACTGACTGATTGAGGAACCAGCAGCAATGGATGCAGGAGGTTTTATTCATTTTCCTGTTGCAGAATCCTTCAAATATTTAAAATACAAACATATTCAGCCTCAAATATCTTTAATAACTTAACTTTGTTCTCTATATAAGCTACTGGAACCAGATTATCCCAGGAGGAGTAATCCTGAGGGATAAATAAAGTCTACTGGCTTTAAAATCCTGACAGAAAGCAGCCTGAAGCTCTTTGGAGGAGCCACCAAGGCGAGTTCCGTCCCCTGCAGCATCCACGCCTCGGGCTGCAGGAGGAAGTGGAAGTGAGTTTTAGTCACGAGACGGCGGCTCCGTCTCTGCTGCACTCAGTGCAAGTTGAGACCCATGTGTTGATGTTTGGCGCTGTCTCACCGTAGCCGCCCGGTCGCTGATGGATCTGGCCTTGCGGGGAATGTGGAGATTTGGTTTCTGGGAGCATTGTGTGAGGCGGCGCTGGTTGTTGTTCTGGTGGTTTCAGAGGCGCCGACAGATGGATGTGCTTTGGTGTTTTTAACAGTTAAGTGTGAAAACTATCCCGGCGCTGCGCTTCTAGTCTGAAGACGTCTCACGGATCGGCTCGCTGTGAGGATTAAAGTGACGAAGCAGGTGGTTTTCATGGCGGACGCTTCCTGCTCTGCTCTTCCAGGGTGCATGGACTCAGCTTCTCATTACCTTCTCTGCCGGGTTGTTGGTTCCCTTCAGGCCCCTGCGCTCCGGGTCAGAGCATTTCACGTCGTCTGTGTTAGATCCTCCGCTCACACACAACCATGTTAGGGACAAATGTGCATCTTAGGCTCCCAGTATATGTATCTGTATATGTGTGTGTGGGAGATTCAGAGTTCTTCTCTTGAAATCCTCCCAGAATTCCTTGCACCTCTGCAGGCTG